AAGTATATCACTGTACTGAAACATCTTGTCAGTGCCTCTAATCAGTGCCTATACAAGTATATCACTGTACTGAAACATCTTGTCAGTGAAACATCTAATCAGTTTTATCATGGAACTTACAAGTATATCACTATACTGAAACATCTTGTCAGTGAAACATCTAATCAGTTTTATCATGGCAGCATTAAAATGTGAACAATAAATATTAATCACTCTAACCAGTCTGTGGTGTGGAAAACACTTTACTAAAGTAAAGTTTCAGTTCAAAGTAGGTGATCGATACGTATTAGTAAAGTGAAGCAAGTTTATATTTCTGGATGGAGAGACGAAATATTTACGATTGACGAGAGAATAGAGAGAAATCCACCAGTGTATAAACTGCAAGACTATCTCGTAGAAAAATGGAACATTTTACGAATCTGAACTACAAAAAGTTATAAAGTCCTACTATTCTGGGCCTCACTCTGTTACTATAATCAATTATTTTAAACCTGGTCATTACAAAGAATCTGAAGATTTAATTAGAATCTTAACCAAGTCGAAAAATCAATTCCTAAACCCGACAATGAACCTGTATTTACTTATGAGTCATTCACCCAAAAATTAAGAGTGAACCTACATGATGGAGTCTCTATAACACTTGACATTGTACTATCAGTAATACTTGGATTCGATATTAATCACACGACAACAAAGTCTACTATAGTGGATTTCATTCACCCTGTGGTTACCCAAATATTGTGGAACCTAGTATTGATGGTCATGTGCATGTACCGCTGGTATGAATAGTTGAAGTTAGAGGTCAGTATAGAGACATGATCACTGAAACATTTATAAATCCTCAATACAGAACTGTCTCTAAATAAAGTTTTCAGACTATTGAGATCGACGTAAAGGGCGACATTTAAACAAGAGAGAATGATTGTAACTCTCCATTTTCGCAGTCATGAGAGTACCTTGCTATCCAGAACCAGCCATCTATCATCTATGATGCCTATTATGATTACCAAGTAGGAAACGGTTTACCTTATTATGCTGGTAGTAAATGGAAATGGGGACAGGGATTGGGAGACGTTTTGAGTAACTTGTTTCATTCAGCTATATCATTTCTGAAGAAGTAGCCTTGGCCTTTGGAAAACAAGTTGTTCAGTCAGGCATAAATTTAGCATTAGATGGAAAACCTTTTGTTGATGCTGGAAAACGACGAGCAATACAAGGAGCTTAGAACGTGGCTCGAGATGCTCTATCTAAAAAAGAAAGAACCAGAAAGTTTCCATGTTCAGAGATGAAGAACATCGAATCCAGACAAGTAATCATGACTCTTCTACCACATGAAAAATATTGTCGGTGTACAAAGTCTGAGCAAGACTTATTTTCCTCTCCCTCCCACGCAAATCATTATTGAGGAAGGTCAGTGGACCGCATATTATCTTCTATCTTCAGTGACTGACAGAGGAGACATCGAATTTTCTATATTGGGATCATGAGATGAATATTTAGATCCCACACAATCATATCTTCATGTAAAGGCAAAGACCTTGTGGGATCGACATAAAAAAGGATGAAGATAACTCTGCATCTGTCAACCTGTTGCTTCATTCGCTATTTTCTCAAATGGATGTATACCTCAATGACAAGCTCATTTGTTCGTTTCACAAACTTTAGAAGGAATAAGGCCAACATAAACATTTTACTGAGTTATAATGGAGAAACTAAGAGAAGTCATTTGACATCACCCAAGTGGATAAAAAATACAAGAACAACGGAATCAAAGATCTACAGATAAATATATCTGGTAGTCAAACAGTCGACATGATCGGTCGTCTAAATTTGGCTATCCTTTTACAGAACAAGTTTTTGCCTAATGGTGTAAGTTTAAAACAACAAACTTATACAAAGTAAAGATTCATTTTGTATTATGTCAAACAAGGAATCAGGATTTAAAATTTCACTACAACACATTTCTGTCTACGCTAGAAAAGTCAAGATCAGTCATTCTGTCGCACACTAAAGCATTTCAGAAAGGAATATCTAAATATCTTTTGAAGTATATAGTGTGCAAATCGTTTCCAATTCCTCAGAACACTTACAAGCATCTATCGATGATATGTTTTAGGTCAAGTATCTACACGTCTTATTATAGGATGTATTGATAATGATGCATTTAATGGATCTTGAGCGAACAATCTCAAACATTACAGAAGTTTGTGGCAATCAACATGGACGGAAAACATATTTCCGCTCGACCGTTACAACTCGAATTTGATGCTTAACTGTATCCTCGAAGCTATGAAACACTATTTAGTGAAACAGGAAAACAACTTCAAGATCAAGTAATTGATATAGGATATGACGAATACTCGGGAGGATATACACTCTTTGCTTTTGATCTTACACCGGATCTATCTGCTCGAGATTCACACTTTAACTTGGTGAAACAGGGAAATTTACGAACTGAAAATCGTTTCGGTAGTGCTTTACCCAAAACTATAAATGTTTTAGTATACGCTGAATTCCAGTCAATTTTAGAAATTGATCAATCTAGAAACATCATAACTGATATTTAAGACGCTATGAACACTTTAGAAATTTATTCGATACTTTCACAAGACTTTGTTTACACGAAAGAAGTTTGGAGGTGTATTTGTCAGTGATCATCTACCTCACCATGCAGATAAACAATTGTACCTCGTCAATCTGGATCCGAGTCATAAATCTGGTAGCCACTGGATCTGTATATACTTCCGTCGAGATGAGAAAGAAGAGTATTTTGATCCATTACAACAAAAAATACTGCAAGGACCGCATTCGTCTGTGTGTGGACATTATTGTATATATTATGCTTATTATCACTGTTAATATTTTTCAAAACAAAAACTGTTATCTAAATTTAAATCCCACAAATATATTAATCATATGTTTGTTCATGATTTTGTTTCAATACGTTTTCATGTAAATACGTCCTTAATAGATATGTCTTTTTATGTAAATCAGGTTGCAAAATCTTTATTGTGAGAACATTAATAAAGTGTTTAAAAAATACTGTGTCCAGAATTTTTATTATGTTAAATCAATAATAATTTTACATGTAATTAAATGTAGACATTGTTGACATGTTTAGACAATGAGCTCACCATACTCCGCTTATAGAAACACTACTCTTGGTAACTAGTTATATGGATAGCATAAAGACAAACTAGTGAAACAGTAATTTTTTATGTTAAATTATTTAGAGATTTAAATAAGCATCCTTTTCAGGATAATAAGTGATTTGCATATGAACAGTCAGGAAATTAAAAAAAAACGCATGATTAAAAAAGAACTAACGAATTAATGTTTTGTACATAAAACGACTGTATTAAATCTAGCCATTGATGACACGTTGAGATATGTATGATGATCTCATCATAATTGTGGTTCCACTTCATGGAAGTATGACGTCACCGTATCTGGTGACCTCATCGTTCCCCCATTACCTGAGGCCGACATACGTGTGGCGCCCTGTAGCGATATGTCGCGCGGGTGGGGCCCTAACTCACGTCATGTAAAATTTTATAACTCCTCAGAAACTTATTATATAGGTACAGCTCTCAAAGCTCTTCCTTGCCTGGAATATTTGTACTCCTCATAACATTTCTTCTTAATTACATCCTATTAATACCCATGTACCTAAGTACATTATGCTAATATATACAATAGCAAATTCACCTACAACGAGTAATAAACATGATTAAATATTTAAGAAGAGAATATACTACCTGTTTTGACAGACCAGAACCTCCAAAACTGAGAACCGGTTACAGAACCTTCATAACTAACAATCAGTTACAGAGCATCCATAACTGGCAACCAGTTACAGAACTCATAGCTGACAACAACCTATATAAGTTACAAGTAGTTACAGAACCTCCATAACTTAACATTAATTACATTCATGATGCCAGAAAAACATGTAGGTTCAAGAAGTCTTAATATAAAATGACAAAAACCCTGTAACCCGAGCGCTTTCGAAAGGTGGGCCTTTCTTCTTCAGAAGCAAACTGGTTAAAGGGTTTTCATCATTTTGCAATTAGTTACAATACTTTTATTATGCTTAATTACAGAACTTTTCTAATTTACACAGAGTTACAGAACTTTTATAACTTATATTTAGTTACAAAACTTATATAACATACTTAGTTACAGAAGTTTTGTTATTTGTATTTAGTTACAGAACTTTTATAACTTATATTTAGTCACAGAACTTTTATAACTTACCCTAAGTTAGAGATGATACTACTTTTGTTTTAGATATATATAAAAGAAAATATTCGTTGTTTCAAAGCATTTACTCAGCTTTCAAAAGAATGGCTTCATTACGAGCAGTATTCAACATCCTTTCAAAGCGGTAAACATTAGGAAAGTCCACTGTTGATAAAGTGTGGCTGTTTATGTAATGCTTTTGTGTTCAAATAAAACAAAAAATTCGTAGTACTCTTTGTTTTCACACCTACCCACAGAACGACCTACTTTTATTGAAATTAACTGCAGCTCTAACATTTTCAAATCTGTTTGATACATGTAGCTGTGATCGTTAAAACACGGACCCAAGTCGAAAACTTACCGTTGGTGTACATCAACTGAAGCCTATAGTGTACTCCGTTGTTTGTTTTTTGACCGTCAGGCTCCTATAAGGATTATGAAGATGGAACAATTATATTGTTTCGCCATAGCTAATAAAATATACATGTGGTGTTAAAGGAAGAAGCACAAATAACGTTAGTCATTAAATCTATCAAGATAGAGAAAAATGACCAAGCATACTGCTTCGAGAACATGACTTTACAAAAAAAGTAACATTAACCTATCTTTACTATCAATCTAAAGAATCCTAGATAATACATTACTGGTCCCAGATCAAATATAACAAAATAAACCATAGGATGCAAAACAAAAAACTTGGTAACAAAACATTGATTACTTAATAAATGTGGAGAAACATCAAAGTGGATACTAAAATTGGTTCATCCTCTGTTGCAACTGAAACACACTTTGATCAAAGAATTTTTTAGACACAACAAGAACCATTTATCATCATCTCTTCCTTAGCTACAAACGAGTGGTCAAAACTGAATGATATTTATGACCAACAATGAGTAATTAATTGTAAATACTTAGTCAAAACAGAATGATGTTTATGACCAACAACGAGTAATTGTAAACACTCAGTCAAAACAGAATGACATTTATGACCAACAACGAGTAATTAATTGTAAATACTCAGTCAAAACAGAATGATATTTATGACCAACAACGAGTAATTGTAAACCCTCAGTCAAAACAAAATGATATTTATGACCAACAATGAGTAATTAATTGTAAATACTCAGTCAAAACTGAATGATATTTATGACCAACAATGAGTAATTAATTGTAAATATTCAGTCAAAACAGAATGACATTTATGACCAACAATGAGTAATTAATTGTAAATATTCAGTCAAAACAGAATGTCATTTATGACCAACAATGAGTAATTAATCGTAAATACTCAGACAAAACAGAATGACATTTATGACCAACAACGAGTAATTGTAAACACTCAGTCAAA